TATCACCAGAGTCTAAGCGAAATGATAAAAGACTTCTAAAAATTCCTTCTTTTCCTGTTATTGCTGATTCATAGTCAAGTATCCCATCGTCTCTGTGCCCTCTGAGAGATATATTGTTATGACCACAAAATATTATAATTTTTTATAATTGAAGTTAAACGTTTTCTATTAGCTTCCATTATCGATTTAGTTTTATCACTAACAATGTTATTTATAAACTTTGATCCACCTCCATTAGAATTTTGAATAAATGAAGATCCTTTTTCAGCACAAAGTTTATGGTAGTTTGTCAAACCATGATTTTTCAATAGTTCGATGCCTTTTTTAAAATTTAAGAACGGTTCAGTGACAAAAGCTTTCAATGGCTGAAAAAAGTGTATAATTTTTATGTTAATTGTAATAATTTAATATAATTATTATAAACTAATTAATAATAATAATAATTATATTAATCATTAACAATATTATTAACAATAATTTATTATAATTAATTTTATAATAATTTATTATTACCTGACAACCTTGACCACCACCACTTGGTTGAAAAATGACACAATATTTACAAAAGCCGCCTTTTTTTACATCACTATAAGCTAGCCACTTGAACATGTTCAACCATTCTCTTTGAAAACATCTATTCTGATTCYCTTGTTTGACAGTTGGAAAAATAAATCCATGCATTGGTGTCCATGTATTTTTTAAGAACAATAATTTGTTTTCGTCATCAAGTTGCTTATTAAGACATAAGCCAATATCATAAGCATTCATACTCAAAGGCTAAATATCAAATAAATTAGAGAGATAGATAAATGTGTCCAAATTTAAGATGTAAATAATATATAATATATATTATATTACCGATTGATCACTAATTTTAAGGGAACTCGTTTCATTTTGAACTAATTCTATATCTTCTATAACTTCAGTTAGTGACGATTTCGTACTTTCTTCTCCTTCATTAATTGTTGACCTTATTAATTATCCTACATATTATATTAAAAACAATATATTTTATTTTTTGTTGCTTTTGGTGGAATCGCATTTTTAAAAAGAGATAATAAAATGATGCCTTTTATATTATTATACTATGATGATTATATTATCTTTATGTAAAAGAAAATAATYAGGCTWATTATTCACAAACAAATATTTTTAAGGTGGTACCTACTCATCCTTTTTGCATTAGTTGTACAAAATTATACCTTACATTTGTTATGTTTTTATAAATAACTCTAGGAGGATCAAGTGATTATGATTCCGATGTGGATAAATTATACAACACAAAAACTAAAGAAAGTACTGTTCCTTCCAGTCAATTATTTAAAGATAATAATAGTTATTATGACACGTCTCCAGAAAATGGGTCTAACCATCAAGAACCATCAACATCGCAAACTGCCGTCTCTTATGGTTCAGGAAGTAAGAAAAAAAAAACACATCACACTTCTAGTTCTGTTGATCAGTTAAATAAAAACATTGATTACACAGTCCAGCCAATAATTTCACTGTCTGCAAGAGCTAATAAATCTGCAGATGAAAGTGATCAAGGTATTTTTATTATATATTAGTTATCAGGTTTGAAAAATTGTTTTTATTAATTGTYCCTCAGCATTCAGAAAATGTGTTAGGCGGTCTTTGGCCAACCTAAAATATGATACAGAACATTTTCATAAACGATTTGATGCCCAAGAATCATTACTGGAAAAAATTTTAGCCAAATTAGATTCAAAAGGRTCAGCTATGGTCTCTAATAATGATGACTATAATGATGTGGATTTAGGAGTTATCGACAACGATGAAGATCTAAACAATATGGAAGAAAAACTAGTTAATGATAAACCATATAAAAATGCAGTGGTATGAATGTTTAGTATAATATATTATTAGTTATTGTCATTATTGTTAGTGGTGTGTATAGTTTATAATTTACTCTATATATTATTATTGCTAAACAATATTTATGTAGGTAGGGTAAGTATGTTCCAGACTTTCGCCTATATAGCTATAATATTGTGAGAATATATAGCTTTAATATTGTGAGAATATATAGCTATAATATTGTGAGAATACATAGCTATAATATTGTGAGAATATATAGCTGCAATATTGTGTAAATATACAGCTCCAATATTGTGTAAATTGTTAAATATATGTTTTAATCTAAGTGGAAGACAATTTTAACACTTTAGAAGACGCTATACTAGTGATGGGCACTATCGAATAAAACTATCGACATATTCGATTGTTTCTAACTATCTAGTCAATCGATTGTTTTACAATACTATCGAATAGTTTTCATTCGATTGAAACTATCGAATAGTTTTCATTCGATTGAAATTATCGACATTTTTCATTCGAATAAAAACTATCGACATTTTCATTCAAATAAAACTATCGACATTTTAATTCGAATAAAAACTACCCACATTTTCATTCGAATAAAAACATCGATAGTTCCATACTATGCTATACGTTTATCAAACTAATTATCGTTATGCGGTATGAATTATTTTATTAATATTTGTCAATAATCGTCTGATACTCTGATTGTCATTGAGTATTGTAGACRTGTCGTTTACTCGTTAGTCAAATTTCAAATTCATGCGCTTTACTTAGTAATTGCTCTTTCTGCTTTCGTTACAAACCACGTAATCATTAGTAATTATTAAAAATGCCGTTTCCAAAAAAAAAAATGCATCCATCGTTTGGAAATATTTTAATATGGACCCCAATAAGCCGAATGTAGCGGTTTGCACATTGTGCAAAACCTCCTACAAACGAGCTAACAGTACATCAAATTTATTAGACCATTTAAACAGAAAACATTTTACCGTCTTAAACTGGGATCGCATGCATGTAAATGAAGAACGTGAAGAAGATGAAAATACACCTGGTAACTAAAAGTTCATTGAATTTGATCAGATAATAAAATATATGATAGTTTTTGTTTAACAATTATTATAATAAACAAGTTATAAACTGAATTTTGAATAGGAACATCGGAAGTAAATACAAGTGCTGTGATTCCTAGGGCAGAGATAGTAACCACCGGGCCTATAGTGACAAGACAAAAACAAATGGTTTTGTCCAACCGGTAATATTTTCATATAGTTTGCTTATTGTATTGAAAAATATTTGATGATTTTTAATTTTAATTTTCAGATTTAATCGTTATCCAACTGGTTTGGAAACATTTTAAGTTATGCCTCTGGAAGGAAACTTTTAATTAAAAGGATATAAGTATCATAATATATTTTAACATGTTTTTAATTATTATTTTATTAATTTATGTCTTGAAAATTTTCTATTAAAAACAGTTTTACTTTACTTATATTTTATATTTTTATTGAGTATTTTCAAGGCTTGTATTTAGAAAAAGTTATTTGATTCATTATTTTTTAATTTTTAGATATATTTATTATCCAACTGGTTTGGACACATTTTAACTTTTAGTGATACCTCTGGAAGGAAACTTTTAATCAGGAAGTTAAAAGGATAACAGTATCATACTACATTTTAATATTTTCTTAATTATTTAAATTTATAGTCTTAATCCTCAAATTAAACATTTCAAATATGTTTTTAGATTTGGAACTGTGTCAGAACATCAATTGAAAGATTTTCATGAAGCGATTGTTCGTATGATTGCCGAGGACCTACAACCTTTGTCAATTGTAGAAAACTCAGGCTTTCGTCGTATGATAAAGCTTTTAGATTCCAGGTGATAATCATAGATTTTACACATTATAAAATATATTATAATAATACTGCATCTAAAATCAAATAACTTGTTATGCTTTAACTGTTGTTTATTATGAAAATATTTAACTAGATACATATTATAACTTATTTTAGATATGAAATACCGAGCAGAAGAACCCTCGGTAGGACAATTATACCTCAAATAATGGAGAAGGTAAAAGGAAATGTGCAAATTTTATTAAATGCAGCAAGTCATATTGCAATCACAACCGATATTTGGACTTCCATGAACACAGATTCATTTATGACATTAACCGCTCACTTTGTTGACACAAATTTGAGAGAGCTAAAGACTGTAGTTCTGTGTACCAAAAAATTAGAGTCTAATCATACTGGTGTTCATCTATCGCAAGTAATGTCAAAAGAACTGACGGAGTGGAATATTTTGAATAAAGTAGTTGCAATAGTAACGGACGGTGCTGCGAATATCAAATTAGCCGTAAGGTTAATGGATATTCCACAGGTTCCATGCACAGCTCACAGGTTAAATTTAATTGTGCAGCAGTCACTAGACATTTCAGAGGAGGATGAACAGGATGATACAGATGAAACAGGAGGATTAAAAAATATTTTGAAGAAATGTCGCAATATTGTAGCTTTCTTCAAACGAAGTGAAGTTGGTAATAGACTATTAATAGAAAAACAGAAACAGCTGGGTATAAATAAACTATTAAAAGTAAAGCTGATACGGTACGCAGCGGCAGCCAGTACAAAGTACAGGTACCGTTGCGACCGGTCTACGACTTAATCAACCACCACCACGGGTGACAACGACGCGGCACCGTCAACTCTCCCTCCACGCCGCAAAGGCTAGGCGGGACGGGAAGACAAGTCGCGCCGGACGAGTACCGGCCGCCGCCGATCGTGAACTCGTTCACCGACCGTCGTACCG